AAATAAATCAGAGAGATAGGCATAGTCTTCTCGAAACAATCAGCATCTAATATTAACAAAGCTTGACATGACATATTTCAGCCATTAAAACCCTCAAACATTTGAAAACAATTGGAGACGTTGGACACTTTGAAAAGTGTGACAGTTGTGCTTGAGGCACATGGAACAAGCAGCTTTGGGCTTGCTGTATGATGATGGGTAATCGTGCAAAATGTATATGTGGATGTGAAATCGAGTGCAGGGCTTAGAAAGTGAAAAATTTTGCATGCTGTTTTAGTGCTACAGTGGTAATTAACTCTTAAATTTTTATAAATATTTGAATGCGTCATTCCATATCACCCAAATCTATTTTCTGTGTTAATCAAATAATACTTCAAACTGTTTTTATTTTTTTATTTTTATTTATTTATGTTTTTATTATTTTTTTTAAGCGAGGCAACCCTTGGTTAACCTCAGAAATTGCAAGGACCTTGTCAGCTTACAATTCCTTATTTTTTTTTTATTACGCCTACAGCACCTGGTCTTCCTAGGCGGTCTCCCATCCAAGTACTAACCAGGCCCGACCCCGCTTAGCTCCCGAGATCAGACGGGATCGGGCTTGTTCAGGGTAGTATGGCCGTAGACTTGCCACTTGCTTTACACAGACAAAAATGTTAACAAAAATTGGTCTCTTTAATACTGATGTTCAGGAAAAGCTGAAACCTGGTATTAATAACACAAAGTTCTAGGGTGTAGGCATTTCTTGATGATAGGCATTTTAATGTTATACGTAAAATAAAGAACAAAATGGAAATGTTTGATTAACAGGGGAAGACAAATGACAAACAATAAAAAAACAAGACTATTTCAGTATTTGTTGACTGTGTATATTTGAAAATGTCTAGCGTAATGTCTAGCAAATAGAAAATTTTAATGTAATTAAATTTGCTCAATATGGTAAAAGTCATGTCACCCGCTTTGGCCCCGTCCAGGAGGCCTGTGTGCCAGGTGGGTGAGTCTGCATGCCCTGCGCTCTCTGTGAGTCATAGGGCAGTCAGTCTGTGTTTACTGCCCTCGAGGGACGTGTCATCTTCTGGTGAAGGAAGAAGACAGGAAACTATGAAAGGACAGCGATCGGTGGTGTATAATCCCGCGCTACATTCGTGGTGTAGGTTGTCAGGAACTTGTGTGACGGAGGCTGTTGAGAGGTGTCAACACTGACACCTGACCTAGGTCCCGATCCTTCAGGTGGGTCCCCCGACAAAAGTGGAGGTTACACCTGGCCTCCTGAATCCGAAACTCGTGGGCAGGCCCTCAGCCTGTGTAATTCTAATGCCAGCTGGCCTTTGAGGGCCATTGTCCTCGGCCTTGGGGCTTTGGGGCCTTTGCAGGAGCCAGCGCGCCGCTGCTGCTGCTGACAGGAGCAACAGAAACCCAGGCCACAATGCGGGGGGCTGCGACACACTTGGGGGGACGCTATGCAGGGAGGAGCGGGCGTGGACAGTTCCATCGAGAGCAGCAGAAAGCTAGTTGGTTACAGGACGATCTGAACAGTAGTTTCGTGGAGTATGCTCAGTCGTTCCTCTTATTTTTTTGTTTTGGGATACTTTTGTTTGCTTTTGTAGTGTTGGCATATAAATCCTAAGCGTTCTCATCACAAGGAAAACATTTTTCTCTTTTTTAGACCCTGTATGAGATAATGGATTGTTAACTAAATGTATCATGGCAGTCATTTTGTGGTATGTGTAAGTAAAATCATTATGCCGTACACCTTGAACTTAGCAGTGCTGCTTGTCAGTTGTATCTCACTGAAACTGGAAAACATTTTTTAAAAAGTGCTAAAAAGGAAGATCGGTGTGTAATTAGTGCATGTAACGAGAGGGTCTGGCTTCGTCTGGGGCTGGGACAGGGCCCGCCCAGACAGTGGCAGTTACGCCGAGGCCTGGAGGATGAGTCTGCTGGGTGGGAGGCGGGCAGAAAGAGGTGGGGAGCTCCAGAGCGGGGGGGTCTTTGCGGGGGATAGGGGAGGTGAGGGGAGCTTCCTGTGGGGACCTTCTAGGTCACGTGTACGGGCTTTGGACTTTCAGAGCAATGCGAAAGGTTTTGAATGAGATTTGATACGATATTTTGAATGGATTTTTCACAATCTCTAGTGTCTTGTTTGGTTTAAAAAAAAAATCAATGCGGTGAAAGTTTCGTTGTCTCTGGCCATCTGTGTCTCACCAGAAGGCATCAGGACACTGTTAGTGGTCGCTGTGTCCACACTGTCGATCACTCACTTGTAGTAGCTCCGTCTTTTAAAATTGAAGCAAAAACTCTATCTCTGTGATGTTTGTGAAATAGCCAGGGATTAAGTTTTGCTGGACACTTTTTATAGAACCTGTATGACTAATATTTTCGACTGAAGTAAATGAATGTTTCCTTTGGTTTTAGCATAGTTTAAAACCGAATGGTAAAACATCGAATGTATCTGGGGTAAAGTGAACGTTACATGAACAAGATTGAGTAAAAGGGAAAGCACCCATATCTCTAATCTGTGAAGATCATGAAACATCGTCAAGAATGACTCATGGAACACAACATCGAGCAGAGACACAACAAAGTAAGGGCCGTTCTCAGACTTTCAAAACAACTGGACAGGAAATGGTAAAAGTGATGAAGAGGAAGATTTATTTTGGAGTAATTATAAGCACCGAGAACATATTCTCGACAAAAGAATGATTCATTCTAGGGATGTTTTAGAAACCGATCTCAGGACGAGGGTTTTTAAAGTCCAGGGTCCTTAGATCAATCATAGTCAAAACTCATTATTTTGGAATTTATGTGCTGTTTTTCACTTAGAGAGTTTATCTAAAATATATGTGAACATCTACGTTTACTTTCCTAATTACATGTGTATGTGAATTATTCGAGATGGACTTAATATTTCTCACAGCCTTAGAATACCTTTCTCAATGTCGGTGGAGGAGGCACTCAGGTTTCGTTTGCTCTGTGACTGTCCCCACGCCGTTTTGCCTGTTCAGCTTCCCGTACGTACGCTTTTTACTGTGGGGCTGAGAAAACTAAGTTCTAGAGTATGTTCTCCTTGAACTTTCTTCATAAAGTGTTTATATGAAATTATAATAGAAGGAAAGGATGCTTAGACTATGCTAATTACTGGCAAATCGAAAGATGTGTGACTTCGGTTCTTTTTTTCTGTGTAATACTCTATAAAAAGGAAGTCAGAAAGAGAAGTGATTTTACACTCAAAATATTTCTTCTTATAATATACTTTTTTCAGATTAAAAAGAATTACTATATTTTCCCCATACACATTTTAAAGTATAACATGAGCATATATTTAAATTATTTCTCTTTTAAAATTTGCAAATTTATTCCTGGAATAGTATTTTGTTCTGTAGGGTTCTGGTTCTAAATTTGTACTGAATGAAGGAATACACTTCTGTTAACTGTGAACCTGCAGAGTTTCAGTGAAACGAGCGATTGCTGATATAATGAATGACATCTTTATGCAATGAAATGAGAGCCCGGCTAGTAACACTTGTAGAAACGACGAATGAGCAAATGTAGTGAAGCCCAGAAGGTTGCGGAAAATCCCCACTTTTTTCTTAAAGAAAATTTTAAGAATTTCTATTTTTATGCTATTAAGAAAAGAAACAGATGTAGGACATTCTCTGTGGATAAAAACCGGACAAAAATAGTAAAACGCAGCAAAGATCTCAGTGCATTTGTATAAAAGGTTAAATTTGCAAATAATGGTAGAAACACGGACCTAGTACTTGATGCCCACGAAGGGCGTCGTGTGTGTTGATTCAGTGAACCTGCAGCAGCGCTGCGAAGCCCCGTTGTCCAGGTGAGGAAGCGGAAATGGAGCAGCTCGCATCAGGGCCGGGCCGTGAACGCGAGGATTTTGCCCCCGAGCCCGGACTCTTGGGCAGGCCACTCGCCGTCTCTGCTTCTCGGTCGTGTCAGCTTAGGGCAGAACGTGAGGCTTGACTTTGCGGAGCGTGGAGACCGGCCCTGGCCCTGTGTGCTCTAGGCGTCCCCTCTGGATCGCCCCCCCCCCCTTAATCTGACAAGGACCCTCCCTCAGTCTGCACCTTCTGTCTGAGAAAGAACAGGATGGTC